TTAGTCCTGTAATACTGCACAGATTTCTTCTTAATGATTTACTGGAATTTTATAAATGCAGAGTATGACTCTCCTTTTGCCATAGGTTCTTGTCTGTGTGGAAGCTCTGATGAAGCAGTTGGGTCTGGTTTTAGCATTTTACCGTAGATCGAATTCCATTGTTTTTATGCCTCTTTTTTTTTGCTTATCAGTTAGCAGAAAGCATTATACTACCTTTTGTCACTTAAGAATGCATATTACGTCTCAAGAGTAAAATTAGATCCTGTTCCTCTGCCTGCTTTCTTTTACATACAACTATTATTCTCAGCCGCTGCCTTTTTGCCTTCGCTCACTCAAGATTTCCATTTGTTCTGTGAGCTTTATGAGAGAATTTCTAACAGGTCTTTAGAGAATCTTGGCTGGCAACTGAAAAAGTGGTTAAAAGTTTCAAAGACCATTTATTACCTTATTTCTGACAAGGCAAGTCACTATCTAGACCTACGCATTCATCACTGTCTTTTAACATAGGCATTTTTTTTGTACCAGTTTCCCTACTCCCTGCGTTAGTACGGAGCAGGACTGCCAGAGCTGCTTGGCATTGAGTATGTCACTGCTGGAGCATGGTGGGCTGAAAAAAGGGCTACCATGTGCCGTCGTTCAGGGTTTTACCTGAAATTTGATTAACCTGTAGTTCAAGAGACCTTAAAATTAAGCAGTGTCAACTATACCAATAGGTAATAAATAAAATGTACTTTTGTATCAGCTAGCTTGCATTTTTTCCTACATATTATGCTTGGTGCGTTGGTCTAGAGCCAACATGGTCATTTCCTGAATGGCCAGGGACCATTTCCTGGTCCCTGGTTGTAGGGACCAGGAAATATATCCAAACTTCAGCTCCAGCTGGTAGTATATCAACTACCTAATTTAGTAGGCAGGTAGTTTTAAGTTTGAAAGCAAATCCTTGACGTGTTATGATTGCATGAACCAAAGTTTTTGTTCCGTGGCTTTAACTTACAATATTAATTTTTGTCCTCAAAGAGAAACAGAAGATGCAGTACAAATTAAATGTAAAAAAATAAATAGGCTTCTTAGTATTGGATCAAAATGGATTACTTGTATTCCCCTGTATCTCTGAGGCCTGTCTTTGGTTCTCAATTTTAGGGCAAAAATGCATTTTTCAAAGACCTTACTTCAATTCAGCTGCTACCTAGTGGGGATATGGATCCAAATGTGTTATCCATACGACAACAGGTAGGTATAAGTTTTGTACTGAAAGCTCTTAAACTCCTAAAATTTCAAGTAATACTGAAATAACCTGCAATTTTTGCTTCCAAGTTCTTGGTCAAAGTTGTGAGTGCAGCGGTTCAAACACTATGTTCATCGCAAAAGGCCAGTGAAGTCTCAGAAGAGGAATTGTTTCCTTTTGAAAAGGGGAAGAATTGGCCAACTTTGGCTGTGGACCTGGCTCAGTATCTTCAAATCTCTGAGGATGTGGTCAAAAGGCATTATGTCTGTGAACTGTATAGTTACGGGATGGATCATCTTGGTGAAGAGGTAATAACAGCTTTTAACGATTTCAAATCAATACAGCATTATGTCAGATATTCCGCTAAAATTACTTTTTCACTTACTTAAGATGCCTGGGAGGGTTAGGCAAGTATTATCAGGCTCAAAAAATCCCCAGGCTGAAAAAGTTAGAGGCTGGAAAAGTACTTCTTCAAGACCAGGAATTACCCTCATTTTTCCTCTTCCCAACAAGAACCTGTGTATAGCAACTAGTGGAAACATGATAGGGAGTTATACTACTGGTCTAAACAAGTACAGCCTTTTTTCTTTTACTGTATTTGATAGTTTCAGGAATCTGCTTTTTTGCCTGTAGTCTCTTCTTTTAGAAGTTTACCCGTCCTTGGACAAGAAGATCCTTCCCTTTCTTGAGGCAAAAAGCAAACGAGATTATATGAAAGTTAGGAATATGTTGCTGAACTGTAAAACAGATCTCATGCTCATGCTAATCCCTGCGTATATCTCCGCCTTTGTTCACTCTTCCGCGGTTCCGAAGCTTTTAATAACGTGCTTTATTACAGCAACAGATAACACAAGAAACAGTCTCAAAACTATTTGTCCTTTTAGTATCGAGAAGCTTCTTCTGATACAGCTTGCCAAGCCTCTAAGTGAGCTGTGTCATGCTGAAATGGTTTCTAGTTCCTTACGTTTTTCTGTCTTCAGGCCTTTCTTCAGGTGACTGACAAAGAAGTGCTTGCATCACAGCTGCTCATACTGGCTGGACAGAGACTGGCCTTCGCTTTACTTCACCTGCAGACAAAGGAGGGCATGGAACTCCTCGCTAGGCTTCCTCCAACACTATGTACTTGGCTCAAAGCTATGGTAAGTTAAGCTCGATTTAGGAAAACGGGTTGATTCTTCAGAAGCTTCTTTTCACCAGGACAGAGATTACATCTGAATGGCCCTTTCTTATTAATGGAAACAAGAATTAGTTCTCATTTTTCCTGGTGCTAGTTCTGTTTCACGAAGGGGAAAGCAGTTTCATGGGTCAAAGCATCAGCTTAATTGAGTTAATAAACCTTAGTAATCTGTTTTATACGAGTTCAGGAGGGCTTGTGTGCAGGAGATCATCTGTAAAATTACTCTAATGCTGTGTTTATTCTTTTATATAGGACCCCCAGGAACTTCAAAATGTAGAAGTGCCAATTGCAACGACAGCTAAACTAGTTAACAAAGTCATAGAGCACTTACCGGAGAATCACGGGCAGTATAGCCTTGCCTTGAACCTGATAGAGGCTGTAGAAGCCATCTCGTCATGACGTTCTTGGTTAGCACAGTTCTGCTGTATAGTGGTGTAATGCATGATTTTACACAACGAGGCTGAACTTTACAGAACGAAACTTTCGTGTGGCTCTTGTTAAACGGTGAAAAGAACAATGCTCCCCATCCCAGAACTTCAGAAGGTGATTTTAAATTGGAGTATATTTTAAATTCTGCACTAGTACAAAGATGTTTAGTTTCTAGTACACTTGTCAGTACCTGAAATGCTGTTATTTATTTCTGACTTGAGTGCTTTTCGCAATAGTCTAAATTGGATATATTTGACAGCAGTTTTAAGTCTATTTACAAAATCACATCTTGTGAAATTCTGTATTTCATGCTGGCAGTGACTGCTGCAGTTTCAATGTTCCGTGTATGATTTGTTTTTCAAAACAAGCTGTAGAATTACACCCGAGAGAACCTTCAGTCTCTGAAGTTACCGTGTAAAGCCAATACTGCTTTTTCAGAAGCTAGAGCTGGTGTTGGCTCATGCCTTGCAACTGCATTATACGTGGTGACGACTGCACTAGGCGTAGGGTGAAACGTGCTGGGCCCTTATGCGGAGGGAGAACAGCCCACATCAGAAACAGCTCTGATGTTCTGATGAAGAACATCCAATTCTTCAGGATGGATGTTCCATCCTGAAGGAGGAGAATCCAGTTCTCCAGACACAAATACGGACTCATCTTTTAGTCCAGTTATGCGGAAGGAGAACAGCCCACATCAGAAACAGCTCGGGAAGGAGAATCCAATTCTCCAGACACAAATACGGACTCATCTTTTAGTCCAGATCTCCCAGTGTTGCCTCTAGGGTGCTGGGCTTCAGCTAAAACTCGATTTACATCCCTCTCCTTTATTATTAAGCTCCGCTGAGTTTAAGTAGGTCAGGGAATGTCTTTCTTACTGTAAGATTGTTCCCCCATCTTATCACTGTAGAAGATGTAGTATGCTATAAATCTCTGCACATGTTAACTTGTAGTCAAAAACTGCTTAAATAGTTGACCCAACTTCACTGAAGATCTATAGTACTGAGTACTTTAGCCTTAAAAAAACCCTACCGCTTATTTACAGCACCTACAGGGAATCATATAGTGAGTATCTTCACTATTGGAGTGGTATTAAACATGATTATCTTGCATCAGTTAGTACTGTTTACTTTCTACCTAAAGGAAGCCAGGAGAGAAAAACGAAATTGGTGTAAACTGTTTTTGTCTTTAAGTCAGCTGAAATTACTTGCTCCATCTTGTATCCTGCTCTTCTTGCATTATATGTAAGAAACATTCATAGAATTCTGCCTTGCTGGAGACAGAATTTGGTCTTATCTTTCTGAAGTATGTGCTGCTGTCATCTAAGGGTTAGACTCCCTCTAAAAAAAAAGGTCACGTAGGTGGCTTGGTCTACGCAGCCTCCTTCACCTGTTCAGCATCACTGCACTTTTGAAGGCAGCTTCATCAGCTACCTTCAAGTTTTGATACTAAATGGTTGACTTCCTACAGTGCTATGAGATCAGACAGGGTAAAGAATAGTAAGAATTCTAGTAAGAAGTAGTGGCCAGGCCTGGTCTATGTTTTAGGTACTTCTGTATCCACTTCCATAACTGAGGTTAAAACAGCTGTAGGGGGAAAATGGCAGAAGGCAGGATTGTCCAGGTGACTTTACCACCTTGCCTGACAGCACTTCAAACTTCTGTGGAAACAAGTACGCTAGAGATTTGGTCATCATGGAACCTGAGGAAAACCAGAAGTGTTTCTTAGTTGCATATACATTCCTGTATCCTGGTACAGCTGTGTAAAGGATTTTACTGTAACTGAGTATCATGTCAGAGCTGACACACTACACCAATCAAATCTGTAATGTATTGTAAGTAACACTCTGTATATAGTGCTATTTTGTGTCTAATTTGCTGTGGATTTGTGTAAATTGATTAAATAAAATTTGAGGTTTCATTGTGTCTTTTCCTCCTTTTTAGGGAATAGTGGTGGTCACCACCTTTCCTTCTGTTCTGTTTCATGCAAGAGGAGCAGCCGCTCCAGCGTAGAGAGGACTGGTTCTCTGGGGTTCCGCAGAACTACCTGCTGACAGTGTAAAAATTAAACAACAGCTGGTTTACTCTGGAGTTTCACTTAACTGGAAGTGAACGTCAAAAGAACACAGGTTGCTAAAAACAAGTACATCAGTCAGTTGTTTTGAAATCACCCTTTTTAATAAGCTGAAAAGTGATATACACAATTAAGTATATATACATAAGGTTGCCCCCAAAACGCATGGTAGTTCTGCTCAGGCCTTCTGGTTAGCCACCCTTTTTGCATACTTAATACTCGTGACTCTGGAGCAGCTCGCGCATAGGCATTTCATCTTCACGTGCTCCCTTTTCCAGCAATGACTTTCAGGCACCGTGGGCAGGGCGTGCTTGAGGAATCAGAAGTGTATCTCCTGCAGCGAGGGCATTTTGCTTTGGCAATTGGTAGGGCTATAACTTTATATGAAGATTCTTCACGGATAACACCACCTGTTAAAGACAGCATTATTACTGAGATGGCGTAGGTGTAGTTAGCGTACTCAACTCTACGTATGAAGCAAACAACAGAGTATGTTGTAGTGCAGAAAAGAACCAGCTGCTTAGCACAGTAGCCTGTCTGGAATAGTTCTCTCACCTTCCAAGTTAATCAGAAAGGTCCCTTTGATGACGTTTGCATCTGCAGGTGTTTCTTTAGGTAGCTCACTCAGCAGGGTTGTCTGGGAAGCCATCATTATTTCATTCAGCTGTGAAACACTGGAAGTTTCTTCAGCCTGCAGTGCCTAGGGAAGAGAGTTAATTTTCAGACTTGCAACCTGGTTTTATTCTTCAGCATCCTCCTCCTAGAAGATGTTAAAGCAAAAGTAGAATTACTGTGTATGTGACTGCAACAGTTGTCACAGCCTTGTCATGAAGAGAGCATGAGTTTGTTTACACACACATGTGCCTGTATGTGTCTAAATATATGCACATACAAAATCATGTTTAAATCCAGCATCGAAACTGAGGTCTGCCACTGCAAGCTCTAAGACGCTCCATTCTTTAAAACAAGCGCTAAGGCAGTGGTTCCTAATCAGAGTGGATGATTTGAACGAAGAGTCTAATTTAGTTACTCCTGGCAGGAGAAAGAGTACAGGCTTGAACTGCAGCGCCCAAGGTTCCCTCTGCAGAAAGTTTCAAGTTACTTTGACCCTCACATCGAGAAAGCAGATTACTTTGGAAGAGCACAGCCAGTGGCACTAGAACAGGCGTTTTCAAGGAGTCCAGAGCTAGAGGCCAGTCACTAGTAGTGTACCTCAGGGGTCAGAATGGGGTCCGGTACCGTTTACCATATTAATTAATAACCTGGATGATGGGGCAGAGCATCCCCTTAGCAAGTCTGCTGATGATACGGTGCTCGGAGGAGTGGCTGATACACCAGAAGGCTGCACTGTCGTTCAGCGGGACTTCAACAGGATGGAGAAAGGGGCTAGCAGCAATCTCACGAAGTTCAATAAAGGGAAGCGCCTGGTCCTGCCCCTGGGTAGGAACAACCCCAGGCACCAGCACACACTGAGGGCCAACTGGCCGGAAAACAGCTTGGCAGAGAGGGGCTCCTGGTGGACGAGCAGCTGACCATGAGCCAGCAATACGCTCTCACAACAGGGGCGGCCAGCAGCACCCTGCATTAGGATGCTGCATTAGGAAGAGCGCTGCCGGCAGGTTGAAGGAGGTGATCCTTCCTCACTACGCAGCCCTGGTGAGAGACATCTGCAGTGCTGGGTCCAGTTCCGAGCTCCCCAGTGAAAGAGAGATGTGAACTTACAGTGTGACTCCAGCAAAGGGCCATAAAGATGATTGTGAAGGACTGGAGCATCTCTTGTATGAAGAGGGGCTGACAGTTGGGACTGCTCAGCCCAGAGAAGAGAAGGCTCAGGGGGATCTTATTAATGTATATAAATAAATACCCGATGGGAGGCTGTAAAGCAGATAGAGCCAGGCACTTTCAGTAGTGCCCAGTGACAGGACAAGAGGCAACGGACAGAAATTGAAAGAGGAAATTCCAAGAAAACACAAAACCACTTTTCTGCTGTGAGGGTGGTCAAACACTGGCACAGGTAGCCTGGAGAGGCAGTGGAGTCTCCATCCTCAGAAGCGTTCAAATCCCAGCTGGACACAATCCTGGGCAACCTGCTCTAGCTGACCCTGCCTGAGCAAGGGGGGCTTGGGCTATACAGGCTCCGGCAGTCCCTTCCAACCTCAGCTACTCTGTGATTTTCTGGCAAGTACAAAGCAGAAGAAAGTTTACAGAAATTACTGTTTTTTGCACAGGCACCACCACTATTCTTAGTTGCGCCTTTTACCTCCATTAATTCAAACAGCAATCCAGGCTCAATCACAATGACGACTTCATATTCCAAAGCATTCTTGCCAGAGATGGACCCGAGGAAAGAGTCTCTCATTGCGCATGCTCCTTCTATCGCTTCCTCAATGCCAGGCTTCTTCCACGCTGAGCTTGCGTTAATCCAGCCAGTACGAAACACACCCTCTGAGTCTTGAAAGCAAAGCAAACAAAGGAATTTTTAGTTTAGTGTCTTTCTAGTCGAGTGTTTATTAAATGAATAAAAAAGAACGGCATCTCTCTGTATTTGCATTCCTTTTAACTGTGCAATTAAACAGTGCACGAAAAGAATTCCTTAGAAATTATACATGCTTTACCTTTCTTGTAAGGGAGGTGCTGGAAAACCTCCTCTGCCAAGTGTGGAAGAATTGGTGCAAAGGATCGGACTACGATGTCTAAAGCCTCAGCTAGCACAGTTTGACACGAACGACGCTTAGGATCTTTCTCTTCTTCACAATAGAGCCTGCAAGACAGGTGAAAGCTGGAAAGTATTCATACGTTCATGTTGCTGTTCTTGCTCAAGATCCATACCTTCGGGACTGCCACTGAAAGTACGGAAGTCTGACCGAGCTCGTCTTTCTAAGGAAAGCTTTTCTTAATTGCCCTTCCTAGGCAAGCACAGTGCTATAGGTACAGGACCATTTGCGTAGGCAGCCACATTTTGTCATAGGGAAGGAGATTTTGTACATGGCACGTTAATTTATTTGCTTCATTTGTATAGAAGAGAATCTTTCCTCAGGGAGGTGAGCCTGCAGCTCTGTTAGCCCTTTGTTCTGGCTCATCTATAAAATACAGCATTAGGGCTTCCCCCCCACCCCTTACTTGCATTCTGGAAGCTAAAGATCAGCATAACCCCCAATCAGTACAACCCCCTGCCTCCTGCCTCCTTCCCCCACGAAACAGCCCTTTCAAAATTTACACAAGGTGTCAGTCACATCCTTTACCTGTTTTTTAGATCAGTAAGAGGCGTTAAGGTTGCCCAGATGAGTGCTAAAAGCCCTTCCCCCCACCTTCCCAAATTCCGATGCACACAACTCTAGGTAGAAATACAGATCCAAGAATCTATCTTTAAAACTTTATTTAGTTTTAAATGCGTACGCTTGATTGCCTTTCAAAATCATTCAGTACCCCTAGTGGACAGAATATAGAAGCAGCACACTGATGACGAAAATACTCGGCTGAAAGCAGCT